GGAGTGCATCTATCTCGGCCCCCTCATTCGCTTTACCTTCTGTTTTGCTGCCTTCCTCTGCAGCATCCTCCTGTGCCAGCTTTGATGTCAGCACATCAAACAATTTGCCGGACTTTGCTCCCTCCAGAAGTGCTTCACGCGCTTGTTGGCGCAACTTGTCCACGTCGTCTGATGACTCGGCTGACTCCTGTAGAGGAGTGCCTTGCAAGACCTCCAACAACTTTCCGCTCTGAGCACCTTCCAGCAGCAAGTCACGCGCCTGCTGTCGCAGTGCATCTATCTCGGCTGCCTCATCCTCCCTGACTGCTTGCTTAGGTGTCTGGGCCAGCACGTCAAACAGTTTGCCGGACTTTGCTCCCTCCTGCTGGCGCAATTTGTCCACGTCGTTTGATGACTCGGCTGACTCCTGTTGAGGAGGAGTGCCTTGCAGGACCTCCAACAACTTTCCGTTCTGAGCGCCTTCCAATAGCAAGTCGCGAGCCTGAAGCCGCAACTTGTCTACATCTTCGTCCGCTTTCTTGTTCGCTTGCTCTTTCTTGGCGCTGCTCTCAGCCAGCACATCAAAGAGTTTGCCCGACTGCGCACCTCTCAATAAGGCATCCCTGGCTAGCTGCCGCAGCTCATCAACAGAAGCCTCCACCTCCGCTCCATCTGCCTGCAGGCAGATAGGACTCTGCACAGAGGCTTGTGGCAAGCGGCAAGCGGCCTTCGGGCTGGAGGCTTTGGGAGTGCTCTCGCGAAGGACCTGTGACACCGAGCACATCTCGGTACAGTAGGGGCAGGGTTTCCTGGTTTCCCAGCTCGTGCCTCCAGCAGCTTGCCGGATTTTGCCCCCTGTAGCAGCGCATCTCGGGCTGTCTGTCGCATCTCCTCCAAGGTCGGAGCCTGATGACCGCTGTGTGTGGGTTGCAAGCGAGAGCCATGCGGGATCCGAGGCCGAAACCTTCTTCGAGACAGAGGCCGAGGCAAACTGATCTGCAACCTGAGCACCAGCAGAGCGTCACTGAAGCCATCTTGGGGACAGCCGCGCTGGAAGAAAGCTCGGGCCCGCACGTACTTGTAGGGATCTTCGGGCCTGCAGCCGGCATCACATTGAGAGGCTGGCACATAGGTCCACATTTCAAGGCTCGCAGTACTGTCACTCGGCGGAGGATCTAGAGTTAACAAGATAAAACTGATTGGGGGATCAGCCCTATCCATACAAGAATGGATACAAAACCAATGCAGGCAATGCGATTCGATGAGGATCAGAAACTTTATGCTCTTTCAGCTCGGAGAGCGGTAAAACCAGGTCCGAGAAAATGAAACCCCAAATACGAGTTCGAAGTAGACAAAGGAGAGCAGCTAGCTCCGGAATCTCCATAACATATTTGTTTGGAACGATGACCAAGACCTCTCAACCTACGGTCATGGACCACTCGATCAGAAGATGTTCAGCTGCATGAAATCATAGTTGAGCAGCGCTTGTTTGTCCCTCACCCTCCCCGCGCTTGCTGCGCATTCCCTCTGACTGTTGCTGCAGCGCCGGGGAGCTGGAGATGATGTTGGATGCAGGAATATGAGGCCCGGCCTGTCTCGGATGACACCTTGCAGCACACCCTGAATGAAGGTGAGCACCTCGCAGATTTAGCTCTTCGAGATCTGCCTCCGTTACCCCAGTGGCACTGAGGTCATCACCCCATGCTTTGAAAGATACTCTTCTGTTGCACTTGCCAAACCTCGCTTCTTTGCAGCACGTTCCTCCGGAGACCTCAGTCATTCGACACTCTGCCTGCCCAGATTGCCATGCGAGCGTTATTTTGTGGGCTCCGGCACTGCTGTTGAAGCCCCCTCTCCTCCGGCTCACGAACCATCGCAAATGCAAAGCAAACAGTCAGAAAGCACGGCCTGATGAGCTTCGCACCAACAAGGAGACCTACCCAAGAACTTTTGCCTGCCTCTCCAGCAATCTTACAGCAACGCAAGGCAACCCTTCTTTGCCTCTGCCTCTTCAGCAGGCACAGCCTAGATGCGGGCACACGGGATGAACCATGGTTCATGGTCACCAAGTTCACACAAAGCGCACGGAACCAATGCAAAGACCTCCTCAGAAGAGCTTTTCTTGACCATTTTCAGTTGGACATCCTGCTCGCCTGCCGAAGAAACCAGCAACAAGAGTCTCTTGCTGCATCCTCATGATCACGAGGCTGAAGTGCGATTAGAGACGGATCAGCTCGGCATGCCTTCGGGTCGGAGAATGGCCCGTGCCGATGCCGTGACAGTCATGAAGTCGACCTTTGCCACCCAAGCGCACGGTAGGGTGTTATCAAATCACATCTTTGTCACACAATCTGCCTTGATGGCACCACACTCCGACAGCTGACATGGGAACCTCGTCGCTGAGGCATGCAGTCACTGGCAATGAAGCAGAGCCGGAAAAGCCGAGAGTGTTGCTTGAATGGCTTGTCTGCCAGAGACACTGGCACCTGCAAAAATCGAGCAACCACTAGCAAGCCGCATCGCCAGCATTCGATGGTGCCTGGCGACGTGTGGAGCCTGCTCTGATGGAGATGATAGTCTCGGGTGACACACCTCAAGGCATTCACAACCCCCCAATGGCCATGCTATTCTTCTTGTTCTCGCCCGTTGCTGCCTTTGGTGTCTTTGAGCAAAACCTCCATGACCTCGAAACAAAAACCAAACGCAAGCCAAACAGGTATGGCACAATTGGTGGACTTCTGCTACAACTGAAGTAGGTGACCGGCAACGTCGAACCGAGATGGCCCCAAGCAATGGCTCGATGTGCACGGAAACTCTTTGTTGCTGCTGGGCCTCCCTAGATTTTCTCAGCTTCCCTTACGACTTGCTAGCTCCACACATGAAAACAACTTTGGCAGCTGTTTATTGAGATCTTGCGGACAGTCAATTTCCCCAGTATGTTTCTTTTTTGGAAAACATGTGGAAAAAAGCAAGCTGCTAACGGCTGCTGCAGTCAAACAGGGAGCTGGGTAAAAGTAGCCGTCCCCCACTCAACCAGTGCAGACCATGTAGCCTGTCATTGTCCATGATTCCATGACAAGGGTCCATTGGCACGAGATCTAGCGCAAAGCGGGTCCAGGTCAGGAAAGCCGCATCTTGTGGTGTTACTGCGTTGGTGCAAATGTAGAACAAGCCGAAGCTCGAAAATCAGCGGCTGCACCTGCCACAACGAGCCTTCGTTTTTTTGCCAACATGATGTCATGCGCCAGTCTAAGCCATCATTCTGGCTTGGCGAGCGCCTTCGAAAGCAATTCTAGGCTCCTTTCTCGAATCTTGGCAAGGCCGGTGGCCTGAGGACCGCAAAGCGCAATGCAGCAAGCCGAAGCGACGATACGTCAAGTGTTCTGCAAGGCACCCGGCCTTGTGTGCAGGCACTCTGTTCGGAGCCTGACCCGCAAAGGACGGTCACCTCTCTTGACCTTTCCGGACAGGCCAGGCTGCTTCACGCAAAGAAAATTGATAAGCATTACCCGAGACTCGAGCGAAGTCAGCATCCAGAGCTTGGCAATGGGCAACCAAACGGCAGCACTTCGCGAACTCCTACGGCTCATCGGTGCCCCTAAAGGAGAGAGCAACGCCTTTGTGCATGCTGCGGCCTCGAAGGACAGACTTGTTCGGCTCCCAGGGTTGGCGATAGCCCAAACCTCCCACAATATACTAAGACTGCATGCTCGCATTCTCGCATTGTCTCCAAAGCTTTGTGCGCTTGCGCAGGCGCGGCAGCTTTGATAGTCTGTACTTCGGGCACAGCCTGCTTCAAAGCTTCACGCGGCAGTCCCGATCGCCACAGAAATTGTGAAACCTGCAACGCAGGCTTCGAACTGGACGAGCCTCAGCTCATGCACTGGTCCTATACCGTAGTCGTAGAATGTCAACAAGGCACTCAATCGACGTCGTTCCGGCGCGCGCATGCTAGGCGATGCCTTCATTCCCAACAACGTTACTCTGAAGGCGTGCAGCCAAGCAGCCCTCCTTCATGGCACTAAACCATGATTGGTAAGCTTCCTGCGGCAGGAAATGATGCAGTAGCAGGCTCCGGATAGCATAACATGTTCAAGGCTATGCGCCACGTACCCAAAGACTTTAGTGATAAAGTGACAAGCGACTCGGGCTTTGTCAGAAAAGCTACTGGGCCTTCCCATCTTTCCTGATTCTTCCAGCGGGCAACCCTGCTTTCGGGAATCTCTTCGAGCTCACAGCTTTCAAGCACCAGGAGTCGTTTTGGAGGCACCAAGGCCAAGGAGAGTGCTTCAGGAGGCGTATCCGCGCAATGCAACGACTGTGCGGCGTCCTGCTCGTCGGATGACCAGGCTTGCATCGCTTCGGCCGCGGCAGGGCGAAGACTGAGAAAATGCAAAATACGTGCAAAGACTTGCGAATCAACGTCCGCGAATCCTTTCCTAGGCAGCTAGAGCTGCCGCGTAACCGGCAGTCCTGACTTCGAATTTCGTGTTTACCCGGGTACAAGGCACCGACGCTACAGGCCATGCATGTGAGGAGTCACCACGCGCCGCGAGAGCTCCAAGCAAGGTCACTAACCGGCGAAAACCCCTTGACTCTGCAGCTGATTTGGAGCTACAAAACAAGCCAGCCAGTTTTGTTGCCGCTCACAAGCATAAGAACCCGAGACAATGCTGTCCGGACCAAGCTATGCGCCTTTCAACGTCGCACAAAACTGCCGACACTCCGGGGCACCCACTCTTTGTGCTGACAAGGTAGCTCCTACACGGCTCTTCTCAAGACGAATGGTCCAGACGGTGCAGTTGTCGCCTTTCGTGCTACGCTGCCATCACGAAGACAAAACTCCGCCGTAACCTTATCGTCCTTCACCTGTGCCAGGATTCCAGTGGAGCTTCCAGAAGCAAGACCGCAAGACACGAGCAAGCCCGCCTGCAAGATTTTGCCTTTGCCCCACCTCAGACGAAACTTCCAGTCACACTACCAGCGGACTCTTTGCTCCCACACAGAGAGGCCAGAAAGATACTTCTTCTGCCGGGCTTCGCTCGCATGCCATTGCTCCACACCTCCACCTCGTCTCCGCTCTTGTATACCTGTCGCACGTAAGCGGATCTGAAGCCAAAACATCGCGTGTTTAAGGCAGCAAAGCCCCTCTAACCCGTGCAGGGCTCACGAGGGGTCCTCCCAGCTCCATGGGTCGCTCCCATGTGGACTCGCCAGTCCTGGAGTTGTAGTAGTAGCTGTGGCCCTCGGGCGTCTTCGCAGCCTCACAGATCCAGACCGAGAGCTGCGAAGCACATGAGAGCAGAAGAGGTAGAGGAGGACCGGGCTTTCCATTTTTCGATCCCGACACTCTTCGAGCCACTCTTCGAGGCCTCGGTGAACAAAGCCAAGCGCATCTCTCACAAAGCCCGGCTCGCGGCTCCAGGTTGGGCCCTCTCCTGCTGGCCTGGCCTGCGCATAGCCGCCCGACATTCGAGGCGCCCGTATGCTCTGCATCCGATCTGCCACCTTGAATAACGAAACATGCATGTTGCATCAAGAACTCAAGCTTTCTCAAAAATAAGCAAAACTCACGAAGCCGGGAAGGAGGCGATTTTCATGTCATCGGACACTTCACCTCCGGCCACCATCCTGCTGCGCTTGGCACGATCGCACACACATGCATCATGACTCTCCGTCCCTCTGTCCCTCTCTCTCTTTCGCTCTATCGCTTTGTTGCTTGCTCTTGCTTCGGACCCTTACATCATGACGCTGCTTCACAGGCAGAGGGGTCAGCCAGCGCCCCCCGCGCGCGGATTCGTACTCTTGAAAATTTGGGACGGACTGAGACAGCTGGACTCGAGAAGACTCAGGCACCAGTCGTCCCCCAGTAACCTCTATAACCACTATGCAGGACTGCGCATCACCACGTGTGAGGAGTCCTCGGAAGGCTAACCATGGAATCTTGCTTGCTTGCTGGGCGTTTGGGGACAGGGAAGCGTGCTCCCCACCCCTGGGCAGTAGCGCTACGCCTCAGTCCGTGTCTGGTTTTGTCGGTGTGAAAGATGGTTGTGATCCCCCACCCCCTTTGCAGCAACCAAGTCACAACATTAACCCATAGTGAAGGTCCCCTTGCTGCCTCGGGAGTCGCTGTTCACAAGTGCTTGGTAACTACTGGCCCCGACGTTGCGGGGTTGTTGTGTTGGAAAGCCCCGAAAACTGCAACAAGACACATAACAAGTTAGAGCCCGGACAATGGAGTAGGTCTTCATCAAATTACATCCCCGCCTTTCCACGCTGTTACCTCCATTAGTACTATCATCTGTGTTGGGGTTGCGGAGCTGGTTCAGGCACTTTGTGAGGCACGGTTCGGCAAGGGGGAACAAGGAAGCAAGGGGGCTCGCTCTCTCTCTGTCTCTCGTTCTCTCTCTCTCTGTCTCTCGTTCTCTCTCGCTCTCTCTC